GAGCTGTTCGCACCTCTGCTGCTTCACGCGTGAGGGGGTGACTCAGAGCTGCCGGGCGGGGTGGCCTCGACTAGCTGGGGGTCGGGCGAGCCCACTCACGGGTCCATGTGTGTCTCGGCCAGTGACGACCAGATCCTGCAGTGGTGTGGGGAGGACGCCATGCACTACCTGTCCTTCCAGAGACACATCATCTTCTTGCTGGTGGTGGTCAGCTGCTTGTCCCTGTGCGTCATCCTGCCCGTCAACCTCTCGGGCAACCTGCTAGGTAATGACTCTTACCCCCGCCCCCCCTCCAGAGCAGCCCCGGGGTGCGTGTGAGATGTGAGAGGGCTCGGGGGTGACTCTCTAAACTGTCCACTTGCCGAAGTGTCTGGAGAAGAATCCGCCCCAACTGGGCTGAGAGTGGGTCCCCTAATACGGAGTTAAGGGGACCCAACCCCAAAGACTGTGATCCAGTCGCAGGAGTCCAGTCTGGTAGTTCAGCACAGGTCCACTTCTGTGCCCGGTGAATCCAGCCTTGCTTTTGGGAACAGTTAAGGCGTTTCTAGGTCTCCCGAGGAGCATCTCAAGGCGAGGTGAACTCAGATCTCCCCTGTGGCCACGTGGGAGGCGAAGGGGCAGGGAGCTTCTCAGGAGAGCAGTGACATGAGGGGCGTCGCTGGCCTCCGGCCTGTGCGGCCATCTCCTGCTCTTCCTAGAGCTCGAGCACCCAGGCTGGTCACTTCGCCTCCGCTTCCCCAGTGTGACCCTGGAATTCAGTGTCTGTGTTTCTCTCTAGACAAAGACCCCTACAGTTTTGGGAGGACGACGATAGCGAACCTACAGACGGAGTGAGTGTGGGCCAGGAGGGCGCTGGGGTGAGACCGAGGAGAAGGCGGCTCTGGGGCTGGGTGGCCCCAGGGGTCTGCGGCGGACAGGCCCGTGTCTGGGCACCCCTTGCAGCTGGAGCCCCCATTCTGTGGCACAGACCCGCCCCGGCTGGGGTTTGAGGGCACACGGGGCCCTGGGGCTCCCGGGCGTGCTTGCCAGTGGCGCTCGGCTCAGCACCAGGAGGGTGGCACCCGCCCTGCTTGGGGGTGCGGCCCTGATGGCTGGTGGGTTCCCCCAACCCCCCAGCAACAACCTCCTGTGGCTGCACACCGTCTTCGCCATCGTTTACCTCTTCCTCACTGTGGGCTTCATGCGACACCACACCAAGTCCATCAGGTACAAAGAGGAGAACCTGGTGAGTGAGGCTGGGGGGCGTGAGGGGGGCGGGGCCGAGGGCACCCGGCTTTCTGGAGGCGCAGAAGCGGAGCTTCAGAGGCGGCTGCGGGGTGCTGGCTTCCCGCCTGCTGTTTGACGTTGGCAAGCACCGTTTTCTTTTTCTGACCGATTGTTTCGGCCCAGTCTGCCAACTGGAGCTTGGGGCTCAGATCTGTAGGTTCTGATAGCTCCGTGAGTCCGAGTGGGCGCAGACTCCGCGTTCTGCACCCCAGCTTGGGAAGGGGGTGCGGTTTCCGTTCCGTTCCGTTCTTAACATTCTGGAAACCGGAGCGCGAAGCAAAGTAATGTGTAGTGGCCCGCGTCTGGGAGGCCATGTTACTGTTGTCATGGTAAAGGTGGCACAGGAGGACGTCACCCGGTCTGGCCGGTCCCCGTGGCTGGTGGCACCTGGAGTCCTTCCCTCTGGGCTCCTCCTCAGTCTCCTTTCGTGTCGGAGGCTCGCGGAGTAGCTCTGCAAGGTGTTTTTGAACAGCCGGGAAGCGACCGCCCACCGCCTTCCGCCTTCCCTTTCTAGAA